GTTGAATGCCTCCATTCTATGGATCGCTTTTTTTTCTGATGTCATGTAAGTCACGTGTTCACACACTTCATTAATCTACTGATGAATTTCGGCAGCTTCCACGCCGTTTGGATGCAGAAAGAGAATCACAGTGCGTATTGCACAATTGACGGCCTTTTTAGCTGTGACGGCACTTTAGATAAGCACGAAAGAATGCTTCCATGCTGACATCTATGATTTATCAACATATATGGGTATCAGTGCACATGTGTGGAAATTGAATAGTAGCATTGCAGATGCCATATTTAGAAATGGTTCTTACTTAAAAACGCCCCTAATGATTTACATAAATCAAGATACAATTACAGGAAGAGGCTTCCAAATAAAGTGATAAGGATTATTGATTACCCATAAGTATTAGTTGAAGAGAAATACGAGCTCGTTAGAACTTATGAATTTTCTTTTATCTATAAAACTTCTAAAATTAATAAACAACTCCTAACATGGAAATAGTTTCATACATAAATTATCCAACTTTTTTAAACCTGGCTGCTAAGTATCATCCAATTTTCGACAAACCACCTTCACTGAATTATGTCTTCATGATTAAACTAGTCTTTGGTGATTGTTATTCGATATCAACAATAACATGCAAGGGAAAATTGTCATTGTTAATTCTTTTTATTTAAACTCTTAACTAGTTGTAATTAAATTGATAGATCACAAACCATTTCGCTGTGTGTTGTATCTATCCCGTAATTTCAAACCGCACCATTTGAAATGTCAAATAATTTACAAAAAGGATATTAAATGAACTGATTATGCAATTGATCATCGTAATAAAACAAAAAATATGCTTTATCAGTCTCAGAGAAGAAGGAGAAAACAATTAAGCTCTCTTCTGCCAGCCATTATGTAAATCTTATGGAATTGATCAATAAATTATCAAATCTCGGCTATTGTATTTATTGGAGCTCAATAACGCCTCCAATAAAATATAGCATACGAATGAATAAAGTACAGTGTAATAAACAAAGAAATTTTCTAAAAAATATACTGCAGTTTTCCTCCGAATTTAATAAACATTTTTAAATATTCTCAAATATGTATAAATTAATGGATTAATTAATGGACAAATAAATAAATACTTTAGCACAAGAAGTAAAAAGTGAACAAATAAGAAAAAATGTCCTATTTAAATGTTTAGGTGTATATTTAATTTCACTTCAATAAATACTGCATTCCAATTTTAAGAAGGTAATTAGAAATTTCATAGGTTTGACATTGCATTCATGGATTCAAACTCACTCGTAGAAAAACTTAAATATTAAAAATCTGGAACCGAGTGTCACTAACCTTAAGGTTCAAGATATAAAAAGTGTTGTAAAACAAATATAAATTATACAATCCAGAGTAATGAAATTAAATAAGAAAATCCAATGATTAAAATAATTTTCTTTATTAATAACTTTTAACTTAAATTTAACATTTATCTCTGAAACTTAAAATGATAATTATGTTCAGAAATTAATTTTCCGAATAGCTTTCCTTACAAATTATGAGAAATACGAACCAAGTTCTCATCAGTACAAAACTGCAGTATTTTGTATCCCTTTACAATAAGCACAAAATAAAACATTTGAGTCTAAGTCTTGAATAAAATAATTAAAAAATTGACATTCTTAGAAATTTTCACATAAATGGATCAAGTTTTGCACTTAATTATATTCAGATTTCAAAAATTCGAAATTCGTCGCGTTTCGATTGTGATGATCTAACACAAATTTTACTTCCTCTTCTTGCCGGATTGAATGGAATTTCTCAAGTTTATTTCTCCTTTATGCTAGATTATATTGTTCTAATAAAACCTAAAATAAGCGCTAGAGTATATCATTCCTTGAGGTGTAACCAAGGAAGAGATGTTCGATAAATCAAAATTTAATTTTAAGGGCGATGGAAGAGTTTTATTGGATAGTATTTCTAAACTCAGAAAACAAAATCAATTATTTTTTCGAAAAAGAAAAAACTTTCTCTCTCTCTCTCTCTCTCTCTTCTTTGTTGTAGTTTTGTGTTCAGTAAATTACATTATATTTTACGATGTAGAGACTGATAGTCTTTGAGTTAAATTTCAATTTATACTTAAAATTTCTTTTAAATAAAAACTAATGTGATGCGTTTTTAACCCATAGTTTAAAATTAAATAGAAGGCAATTTTCAAACATATGGGCATTTAAATCTTGTACTGTTAGTGAAAAGTAGCAATAGAAAAGTATATTTAACTTCAAAATTTTTCCTTCTCATGAGTCTTTTATGTCTTAATATCGAACACAAAACTGTTATCATAAGTCCTTTTACGATAAAAAGTTTTTTTTTTCTTCCATTAAACAAATTATTCTTAACAATACACATACAATTAAAGTATCTACACATATTATATAGGATTCATGATAATGTAAATAGATCTTTAGATTTTACAATTTAATCAAAACTTTCCTCTTCGTTCCAGAGATGAGAATCGGGAAGTTTAAAAGAGTTTTATCGGAAACAAATCCACCTAGCTCTATGGAAAGGATTAACACCACGAGGTTTGTAAATTCGCATAGCGCTTGATCCCGTTATAAATTATCTCGGACTGGGAAAACTAGATTAAGCTCTACGATGCCACAGTTGTAAATTAAATTGTGTAGGAAAATTGACACAAAGTGACTTAAATGTTACTCTTAAGAGCGTTGAAGAGAAAAGAGGTAGAGAGAAACATGATCAGTATTTTTATGGCTGAATTAAGTTCGTATGTTTTGAAGTTTGTAATATGAAATTTAGAGAACGGAATGAAAATTATTTGTGGGATATAACAACGTTTTGAAAGAATCATGTAAAAGATATTTGTTGAAAATTTTTGCAACAGTTGTTAAAAATTCGAAAAAGTTGATAAGTATCTCACAAAATAGAATCATAAGAAATTTCTTAAATTAGTATGTATATTTTGGTGTGTATTTAAGCAAAATGTATTAAATAAACAAAAATCAATCGCTTAAATCACTTAAACCGCCATTAAATAATTCATATTCACAAGTAATTGTTTTGTGAGAAAGATAAATATTGATGTGTATAAACAAACTTCCCTTTTCTCCTTAAAATTGTTATCTTTGATTATGATTAAGCATTTTTAAGTCTTTAGAAAATTTTACGAAATTAAATAGCACATGGATTTTATTCTGTCACAACACAGCATATTGTTATTTACAAACATTAAAAAAACAACACATCTCATAATACTTTATAAGCAAGGTAGATTTCATAGGAATAAATATATAATTGTTAGTCTTGGTAACAAATATATTAATTGCAGTAATCTTATTCTTATTTGCATATAAAGTACAAACACATAAGCTAATACAAATTCCAACTATCTCATATTTAATTATCTTAAAAAAAGTATCTCTTATAAAATTATTAATTATGTATTAAAAATTTCTAGTTTTATAAAAAAAATAATTATATAATTTTTCACAATTATTATTACTTATTTATTAAATAATTATATAATAATTATACAGTGTTAAATGTTATTTAAGTTAACGATTAATTTTCATTTACTCCCCAATGATTTATACCAATTTATCAGTTCAATTTACTGAAACTTTTGTGGTACGCTCTATATTAAATAATTCAGATAAATAATTTCAGAAAAAAAATCAAACTCTAATGAATTTTAAACTCAAAAATTAACTATTGATACAACATCCTTTTTGAACTTTTCCCGATTTTTATTGTGTTATTCTACCTATTTCGAACTGGGAACATATATCTGAATATACGGATAATAAGCTCTTAGAAAACTTAAATTACGTTAATTTAAGTACAAATTCTTCTTCAGTGTATTAAATGTTTCTTAGCAATATTTAAGTAAGAAAAGTTCCAATATATGGTGTCAGATCTAACATGTATAAGAATAACTTCAAAGTAATACCACCTCTTACTTTTTTAATCATATCTGTACACTATATGTATTTACATTTATTGTCTATGCTGTAAAATATGTACACTATAATTACAATACTGGTTAAATCGCTTATAGATATGACGGGAAATAAATCAAATGATATACTTAAAAACATATATTTGTTTAAGACGTCGATAATTACAATATTATAGTGATATTATGTTTACTAACCAATATCTTGATCCAATTCAACCAGTAATCTCTCTACTACTCAAGGAAGTTTTTATTTTACTTTTTTTCAAATATTTCTCCATCGGAAAAATGCAATTACCTGTAAATATATACAAACAAAATTATAACAACAAGCACACTTTCGTATATTTATTATCTAAACAGCTATTTCACATGATATAAAAACTTCAAAAAATGAGGTATTTTCTGGATGTTGTAAGACAGGGATAACATAAAGAAAAACCTCAATTGCTCTCTGTAAAAGGGATAGAAACTTACGGCATGAAGATAATAGAAATCGTTACATTCCTGATACAAGACAGGCGCTTTCAACCACTGAGCCACCCTTCTCTTTGAAAGGCTAAGTCTCATTCTATCTATTAGTTTTCCACGAAGAAACCGTCATGACATCCTCTTGTTACTGAATGTAGATTTTCGTAGAAATGTTGAATAATATTAATAAAAATATTGCAATTATCAGATATAAGCGTCTGACCCAGTATAGAAGAAAGTAATCACATGATTGTCAAAGGCGATTCTTGAGGAAACGACAAGTTTCAGAAAAAATATCTCTTAGTCAATTTACAAGTTTTTAAACCAAAGCCATTCCCATGCCGCTAATAGAAGGCTTTATTTCTGTTCCATTGAAGGAAGATTTTTTTAAAAAAATACCTTATTCTTTACAGTTTTGTTCGATTTTCTTAAAATTAATTTAATAAAGCTCTTTTAGATATTTTGTATATAAAAAAGATACACACATTAAAAATATTTATGGTTTATATATATGTAATAGTTTTTCCGATCTAGTACAGCGCAGGCATAAAAATAAATAAAATAAAAACATAAATGCACAGAGGAGATTCGAACTCATAAACTCCTATTTACTATACAGGCGCTTTAAACAACTAAGCCATCTCGCCTACGCTGCTTAGAAGAAATTGTAAATTTTTATCATAAATTTTTTTCACTATTATAACGTATGGGGAAAGATTTTTAAATTTCCTATGATTCTTTCTTAGAAGAATTACTTGAATACGAAGCCATGACCTAGGGATCATGGCTTCGAATTCGTGGCCGGCGGTTTTCGTTCAGTCGCGGGTTCGATTCTTGACCGCTAAAGACCCGCCGTGTAGCCGAGGCTGAAGCATGTTACATCTGTCGGGGAACAAAGTCCTCCCTTGGCGTTGTGTAGAAGTTCGGAGACGGGGTGCCAGCTCAGGTGTCGTCCTCGTCACTTGACCGAGGTTAAAAATTACGAGGTCCATCACCAATAGCCCTAGTGTTGCTTCTAGTGCGACGAAAATAAAAATTAAACTAAGAGCTACAGAATAATTATATTAAAAAAATTCCCCTCTATTAAGCATATGATTCTTGCGAAAGTTGAACATAACAATAGGTGCTAATTTATATCAAATCACTAAACAACAAGATTCGTTCTTTGGATTCGGTGTTATTGTGTCTGATGTTAAACTTGAGAATCCACACGTCAAAGCACATATTAAATTAGACATGACTTTTAAAATATTTTATTCTATTTTAATAAAAATGAAAAGAAAGAAAGCATAGTAAGTAAATTTCTACAAAATAGTATATGGTTTTGTTCAAAGCACATTCAAATGTATTACTGAACAAGTTTATCGACGAGTTTCCCCAGCTATGTAGATATCCACTTTCGTTAATACACGGCGACTACGGAAAACGACTAAGAAAAAACTAGACGTCCTTCGTAATCAGTCAATTTTAGGCACCGACGAGATTCGAACTCGTGATCTCCTGTTTACTAGACAGGCGCTTTAACCAACTAAGCCACGGCGCCTTCGGTAACGCGTAATACTTAATTTTTTTTTTCAACATTTCTGATATGAAAACCAATTAGGAATAGAAACGTTTCTTTGAGTATTAATTCTGATAGACAAATACTATTGGGTCTGGAACACTATTTAAACATTTTTCAAACTAAAAATTACAATAAGCCCAAGAGAGCATTTGTCGAAAAGCATTATTTGTAAAAAAAAAGGGGGGGGGAAGAAGTGAATCTCGAATATATATTAGTATTTAATGAGAGGTATTTAAAGGTAGAATACTAATCTTCAGCTAATTCCTCATTTAAATTTTATTTTGAATTAAAACGTTTATCTAAATATCTGTTGACCTCCTGAATTAAGTCTAACGTTTCGTAAGATATGATACAATGTTTAATAGGTATCTTGCGATAAAAATTTAATATGATTCCAATCAGAAGTATCAAATTTCAGTTTTTGAAAAGGAATCATTTGCATCGATATAATTCGAATTTAAAGCATGAAAAAATTTAAGAATTACGTTCAACTTTAAAAAGTTCCTTTTTAAAATATTTGAAACCAATAAAACAATTTTTTAAAATCTTTTATTCATGAAAAATAACTCCATTTACTTGTAATGTTCAGTTTTTAACAATATCTTATGAAAATCATGTTAAAATTGTGTGCAAACAAACCATTGCTTTAGTTTTTACAAGTATTATATTTATTTCTTAAATTGTATTAATTTATGTTTAAAATAATTAGTTAAGTTATTTAAGAAGATAATTATATTAAAAAGGGATTCTCTCTAAATGCACAATTATTTTTAGTTAAAAGTAAAACATTTCTTCATCCTTTAAAATTCAACCAAGTTTAATCTTTATAATGTCCTAAGAGTTAACTTCAATATCCTTCTTAATTTATTGCCTTTGAATTTTCATAAGAAAATGAAATATTTGCTTACTGCCCTTTCTTAGACAATTCTAAGCTAAACTCTCCCTTATCTGAGGATACATAGCTAAAAATAATATGGCTTTAAATAGCCTAAAATACAGCTGTCAAAACAATCTGTAAAGCTTAATGTGTAATAGTACATATGACATTTTCATTCGGCTTTTATGGCTTACTCTATCTACATTTCTTAGAGGCTTAACGCCCATTTACCCAACATTAACAACAACTTGTTTTCAAATCCAAAATAACTACGAGCCAGCATCCAACCAGTGCGGACCTAGAAATGTCACGCATTAAAATAATCTCGTCAATCTCTATAATTCTTTCCTACTGTTTATAAGTGAAATTGCTATATAACTCGTGAGAGTATCAATATAACTCAAATATATTTTACTTTCTACTTATCTATCTTTTACTGGTCCACTTAGCTCTTATTTCGCTCAATTTCTTTCTTCACGCTGATATAACTCCTATGGCAGAGATAAATTTCTACTAATATCTTTTTCTTTCACTCATTTTTATTAGCGTTTCTATCACTGTTAATTTGATGTTGAACTCTGGAACAAAGATGAGGCATTATTCTCTCATCTACCAGGGTGTAACAACATAAATATTAAAGGTGCTAAAAAATTGAGTTTTCTTATAAAAATACTCCTTCGTCAACTTTCAGTTTCCGTTAAGGCATTAACTTGCAGCGCAATCATTTTGAAAATTGTTTTAGGAATATCTAGTGGTTTCTATTGCGTTCATTTAAAATACGCGGTATTTATTTTCGGATAAGCAATCCACTTATTGTTCCAAAATGTTTTTGATAAAGGTTTAGTAAAACATAATTCCCAGTTATTTTAGGTTTGATTGATTGATTGTTTATTAAAGTGTCGTAAAAACAAAACGAGGACTATTGGCAACGGATCTCGCAATTATGAGCCTCGGTCTTGTAAAAAGGGCAAGGCTAAGTTGACACCCCACTCTCTAAACTTCCACACTATCCCTACTTGAATACATTGAGGCTCTAGAGATCTAACCTAGATTAGCCCCACTACACGCTAAGTCATTAATGGCATCAGGACTTGAACCCCTAACTTGACGGAAACAACGCCTTCTATGAGCTCATAACCATATGCACCTTAAGTTTTTAGGAACTTCAATGTTATCATACGCATTTCTCATATTGAAATGCATTTTTTTTAAGAACTCCACTATCTGTTCACAATTTCGAATTTTTCAAAGTAGCGCAAATTCTGATATGATTCATGATTTATCTCCTATGAACTAACTATTGTTCTTATTTTTATTGCAATAAATTCTACAAAAATTTAAAAGTATACAAGATCCTAAGTATAATTTCACATTTTCCTTATCACAACAACAACAACAATCAAATGCTTAGCGAGGGCCAGTCATTGCGACACTTTGCTCAATCTGATTTTTTTATATATCGATGAAATTTGTTAAAAGATTAACCAAACATATTAAAATGTGTATTAACACGTATGATTTATCATGAAATAAAAAAAAGAAAGAAGAAGAGTGAAGATATAGGATTATGAGATATATACAGAATGAGGTTTTTTTTTTAATCAGTTTATTATTTTTTTTTATCTTTCTTTTGCCTCCGTAAACGATTCTACCTTCACACATGCTCGGTAGATCGAGAACTTGAGGTTTGTAAGTATCATTTTATATATATATTTATATTTTAATAAGTGTAAGTAGATTACACATATATCGTTTTAAAAAAATTTTAATTTAATTTAACAGTTAAATTAATTTTGATAATTTTAAAGCTTTTTTATTACTAAGACGAGGAGATTAAAGAAATAGGAAAGGAAGGAGAAAGAGAGATAGCGAAGTTTTTATGTAGACTATTTAATTACATACGATTTAACATAAACTCGACTTCATTTATGCAGGGGGGGGGAGCACCTTTTGAGAATAAAGTGGTTGAATAGGTTGGAAGAGGGAGAAAGTGAGTGATGGGGGCTTGATTACAGATGGTTTAGGATAAATTGAAAATGTCTCAGATGGAATGCTTATGGTTATGGAGAAATAAGGTGAAAGTAATTATTGTAAGTTTGATATAGTAATGGATGAGTTCCATTATTATGTGCAAATGAAAGCTGACCTCTAATTAGGGGATTAGTATGATTAATAAGATTGAAAAAGAAGCATCTAGATAGATGGTCGATGTGGCTATTAATTTGAGGGATTTTAAGATCATTGTGTATGACAGAATTTCTCACATGCCAAGTAGAGTTGATTATTCTTATCAGTAAATTGTTTTTCAGTTTGGACTTTTTAATGTGTGTAAGAGCCGCTTGGTCAACACAGGAGAAGCGTATAATAGAATTTGTCTGACTATTTGTTTGTAGAGCGGATCTTTATTGGGGTGAGTGAGTACAGAGTATTTACCTAATTTTCTATGTGGCTTCGGTAACCTAACAGGCATGGTCGCAAACTCGCGAACGGAATTCTTTTCACCTTTCGTGACTAAAAAGCCTTCGTGCCACTAAAGGCCCGCCATGTAACGAAGCTGATGCGTGTTAAATCTATTCTGAGATCCTAAGTTCTCCCAATGGTAGGATGGAGGTTGGACAGCGAGGCGTCAGAGCTCAGGAGTCGTCTTCATCATTTGACCGAGGTTTATAATTACGAAGTCCATCACCAATATCCCTCTTCTTGCTTCCCAATGCAACGTAAATAAACAATTAATTTCCTTTTATTCATATTATTTTAAGAGATATCTTCCTTTTTCTGCTAAATCATTCGAAATTCTTAAAAATATTTTGAAACAAAATTTAATTGGCCATGAAATAAAGTGAACACGCTTAAAAGAATGAACATATTTGTACTTCTATTAAATTTATTTCAGCCAAATAAATTCAGCAACTTTAGCTTTGAAAAAAAAAATTTAAAATTTACCTTGAACTCACATTGTGTTTTATCAAAGCACTTCATGGATATAGGACATATTCCTGCATCTACCTTTTTCATACAATCAATATCATAAAAATATAATTACTTTCGATTTCCTTTATATTTCTACTAATTTATTCTGGATATATATAGTTATAAATTAATTCATTCCCAAAGCCGTGTTTTTATTAAAAAGCTTGTCTTAAATAATTGATCAAAATAAAATTATAGTAGCATCATCTGCTTCATTAACTAATAATGAAGTTTTAGTTAA